CTCCTCGTCCTCCCTACCCCCACTAAGAGCGTGGTGTTAGAGACTGGGATTGAGTCAGTCTAAAAAAAATGATAACATTATCTGAATGAGGTGCTTATTATATACAGTACCAGGATAGAGGGCGCATTGACATCGGTGGAGAGTGTTACAAGATAAATATCTCCAAGGGCAATTGATTGGTGTATAAAAGACTGGAGCAAGTGCAAGAAAAATCAGATCAATGCTTAGATGAGCAAAGGAAGAAACCCTGGCAGTTGAGTAATTGCTTTAGTGTGAGAGGAGGTAAGTATTATTGGAAATACATTTTCAATATAAGAAAATGTTACCATTTATCAACAAATATCTTTTAGAAATTTTCTGCACATTTAAAAGCATAGATTTATATTTGCTGAGCAACTATTGCCCCTTGAGAATATATAAGATATCAATGTTTTGTTTCTCACATGATTTTCAATCTATTTCTCTGAATTTTATTAGTACAACCTCTTGGTTCCTGCCCTTTTATGATATCTCAGGTATTGAATAACTATTAATGAAACTCATCCTTCAAAATATCAAACAATAAAGTTTGAATACAATGATGTGAGAACACATTTTTGGTTTTGTGGGAAATTGTCAAGACCTAGCTTGTGCAGAGAAGAACAATGGAATGTAGTGGGAAATTTAGAAGTCTCAGGAACAAATAACAGTTCTGGGAATTAATTTTAAGTTTCTGTAGATGTTATTTTCATTCTTACAAATGTTTTTGTTTGTAAACTTTAGAAATTTTCTTGTTAGAATGAGAGAGTTTATAGTAGACAATTGCAAAATATTCTGGTGACTCAGATCCTTATTTATTGAATATTGTTAAGTTTATCATATTCAAACAACACATACGTAAAAGAACTTATCATTTATACACAAAAATTATATTTGGTAGATATGAATTGAATATTGTTACCTAATCTAACCTATCATCATCTTGAAAAGTGTGGTCCAAGATTGTTAGTTTCAGCAGTTATTTTTTGTAATTTATAGCTGGAAATGGTTACTTGTATAATTGGCAACATAAAATACCAAAATAAATATGTTTATGAATATCAATGAAGTTGAAACTGATCGGATATGTGAAATGGAACTTTCTGGTCAACGTTGAAAAAATTTAACTTGTAGAAAGTATTTTTAATATATTTTCCAAATATTATATCACAACAAAATTCTGGAAGTTTCTCAAAAAAAAATATTTGCAGAAAAATCAAATTATATGAATTTTTTAAAATCTGTACTAGGTACTATTTAGTTAGTTTGTTCTAGGTATCATACAATTTTTTTTAATTATTTTCACTGTGAGAATGAAAATATTAAGGATATCTGTGACCTATCCAGAAAGGGTTAATAAATAAAATGTAAAAATTATTAGGTGTTTCCATTGTTTTGTCAAATCCATGTACTTCAGTTTCAAAAGTAGGCAAATACTGTGACATGATTTTTCTCCTTGTGGCTCTTACTGTTTCTTAAAGAGATGATTACTATGACAACACATACAGGTGGGTATATTCACAGTTTTCGTACCCTAAAGGACTTGTTTTAGCTGATATATCCTTAACCAGTCATTTCTTTGATTGGGAAGATTATTAAGTGTTAGACATTGAATAAAGTTTGTTTGAGGTTTCTTGGGTGATATAGTCATATTCAATTTCCATCTTGCTGATAGCAGAAGTTGTTGTACTTTTCTGTTATTTTTAAAACATAATTTTCTTTTATTTGCTTTGTCCAAAATGTTTGCATTTTATTTAACTTTAATAAGTATTTTGTTTTGTTTTTCAAGTTCTTGTCAATTATTAAATAGTGAATTGTGTTTTGAGAATACATCTGATTTTTTGAAAATATTAAACATGAATTAAAATGTATTTTAAAGTGGTACAAGAATACACAATCTAAAAATATACTTTTTTTGCAGTTTGCAAGAGCTGCATTGTCAAATTTTTACAAACCAGCAAACACTGTCCCATGTGCAATATTAAGGTTCATGAAACTCAACCTCTCCTGAATCTAAAATCAGACAGGACTTTACAAGACATTGTATATAAGATTGTACCCTCTTTGTGGGAAAGTAAGTATTAGAAATTCTGTACATATTCCTTAAAGGTGGGTGATTGAACTAAGATTTGGGGAAGAATGCCTTTCAGGTTTTACATAATATTTTATTCATGGAAAGATTTATAAACTTATAGCATGTACTTCAATAGTTCTATCATATGTACAACATTATTACCAAAATTTAATAGAATTAGTAAAAAAAACAACTGTGTTAAGTGAAGATCTTTAAACAGTATAACCACCATGTTATTTTAGATTAATTTTGGTTAGAGTTTTGTATTTCATCCATACAACTTTGTAAGTGTTTTTACAATTGCAGAAATCATCTGTGAAAGTTTTACAGAAAAATCTATTAAGCTCTGTTAGGGTTAGAGAATACAATGACTAAGGACCCACAGTGTATAGTATTTTATTATATGTATTTAAGGAAGGGGAAACTTGTGATATAATTTAAAATATGAAACATATTTGTTCATAATGGAAAACAATTTCCATATTATACTACACAGATAAGTATTAAAGACGATAAAGTGAGGAAAAAGTAGAGTATCAGTACTTGATTTAGTAGTTATAGCATGGTTGACATGTTATACACTTTACTTTCACTGATAAGTTCTTATTAATAATTAAGTACTACCATATACAGGGTGGTCCAAAATAGCTTTCCTATTTTCAAATTTAATAATTAAATAACTAAAGAAATATAACCATGTAGTTTTCAACCTCTTGTAGCCTAACTTAAACAGTTTTTATTGACATGTCAGTAGACTTTTATGTGTGCACTATTAGTGACTCTCAGCACATCTAACTGATATTCGATTTCTGTCCAGGTTCGTTGCAACATGTCTACAGTTATAATGGTGATGGCATCCATTATCCTAATCTTTATCTCTGTGATGTTTGCTATAGGTGTGCAATACACAATGTCCTTAACATACCCCCAAAGATGGATTAATATCTGGCAAATGCAGAGGTCACCCCAACCAATCCATTGCATTGAGCCTTTTCTTACAGGGTAACAGTACTCACTGGAATGACAAAACAACATGATAATAAAATCTGTTTGAGGTGGACCACAAGATGTTGAAAACTGTATGGTTGTATTTCTTTGGTTATTTAATTATTAAATCTTAAAACAGGTAAGATAATTTTGGACCACCTTGTACTTGAGTTTAGGTGTGTATATATTGATATTGATAAAGTTATTAACTTTGTTAACATGTTTTCTTATGATAGATGAACTTAAACAAAGAGAAGACTTTGAAAAAATGAGAGGTTTGACTGAGACAAATACAGAAGGTAGGTAACATTTTAAGTAAGCCACCATCTAAGTTAACCAATAATATTAATCTGTCGATTATTCCAAAGTGTAATCCAGTACTCAGTTTACAATATTTTTGATAGAAAATTTTTTAATGTATTAGATTGGGGTGATTAGTTATATTTGCAAATCAATTACTTGATGGGCTCATTAATCCATTACATTCAATTGATCAAATATAACAACATTTTTGACAACATGGCTTCCCCCTGTGCAAAAAAAGAAAAATAGGGGGGTGCACTAACATCTCAACTTTGAGAACCACTGCAATATTCTAACATGGTTTTAATATTCCTATTTTTAACCTTTTTCTTTTTAATTTACTTTCAAATTATCTTTTATTTCATACAATAAATGTGTTATGTAGGTCATCATTTTTTCTTTAAAACATAACTTGGCACAAATGTTTTTTAGATAATCCTGGCATTTCTTATTCTGTGTATGACTTGCTATTGTCAACTAGAGACCATATTTTTACCATTTTGTTGGTTTTCAAAATATGCAGTAATCTCCCACTGATCTTGTGTAAATCAGATAAGTTGCTAATTAATTAATGAAAACATGTTTTACTATCACTGTTAAGGCTAATGATATATTTATTTAAAACATATGATTGCAATCAGAAGTAAGCAGTTGTTAGTTAGCCAGTTTATATGCATGATGTTTGATAGGATAAACATAAAAATATTAAATAAAGGGTGTGAGTCACCAGAATTTTTTTCAATTGCCTACCATACTCGCTAAACATAACTAAGCTTTTGTCATGATATATAAGACTGTTTCGTTCAGATAGTATTGATTAATTTAGTTTTGTGAATGAATGTTTTATTATTGTATAGTTTTTGTTACAATAAGAGTTAAAAGCAGATGATTATTGGAAGTTTTGTTAATAATTCTTTGATGTTGAAAATATCGAACGTCATGTGCAATATATTGACGTGAAGAATATAGAAGGCAGACAGACGATTAGGTGATAAAGATATAAATAGCGTGAGATGAGTGGGAAGCAGCAGACAGACAGTATTTGACAGATAATAGCAAAAGAGAATAAATTTGATGTGAAATTAACTACCGTAGAAGTGATAGGCCTAATGTTTAATATCTTAAGAGTGAAACTAACAGTAGAAAAGAAGATAAGAAAAATAATTTTATTCCATCAAATCGGGG